TTACTTACATTGACTTTAGTGTATATGTCAAGTTTGGGGCAAATCTACCGTCCAGGTATTTTAAATGGGCTGTCTCAAAATACAGGTTCATTTACTGTAGGATTTTATAGGAGAGTATCAATTTTTTGCACTTTAAAGGAAATTATACAAATACTACAAAAGACTTTTTGCTCAGATTATAATATATGATTTGTAATACTATATTGTACATTATATGCAAGAAATACAAAATACTACCGTCAGGTTTCCAGAGTGGGCATCTGAAAATGTGAAAAATTAACGATTAATTCTGTTTTTATGGAGTTGTGCAAACTATGACGGATACAAAGGATAAGTAGTAAAAAAAAAAAACAGAAAATGATCAAGAGATTCTCAAATTCTTATGCTTTAAATTTCAAGAGCCCATGTTGAATAATACTTTTATGACATCTTTATTTCCCTTTCTTTTAGAGATTCGGTTTATCAACGTCAAAAACACACTATTTCGATGTTCATCTACCTATCAGTTGAAAAATCGTTTTAAAAATCACAAAAAATTGTAATTGAATTTTTCAACCTGTAAATTTCTCATTAAAAAAAATTGTTAATTAAATGAAAAAAGTTGCTATAAAACAGTCAATACGCTTCATTGTACTATGATGCGCAAAGAATTGCGCAATGAAAACCCCACTCGGTCCCCTTAATGGAAGAGCTATTGCAAGAGCTTCGGTTCAACGTGAGTGTGAATTTTGATTTTTGCTTATGACGTTGTACTTGAACGGCGTTCAACGTTTGTGACGTCAAATAAAATGCATCCTTTGACCTTTTGACAAAATAAATAAATTATGGAATGTAACATTGAATGATTGAAATGAGGACAACATCTCAACGTGTTTGCAATTGGCAAAGAAATCTTTCGAACTTCAAAGAACATTGAAATTACAATCGTAAAGAAAATGAATTAAGGACATATGAGAACAGGATAAGTTTTAGCCTTCCAAATACGACTACCAGCTTTACAAGACAAAAACTGATAAAGATAACTTTTTCTCCGAAAAAGTATATTTGTGAGGAACAAGTGTTTTGTTGATGTCATTTAAAATTTGTTTTACCTTTTTTTCGATAGGGGTTATGTTCAATCCTAGTTCCCTATTGCACATATCCCCGCGCAATGTAATATACATAAATTATGGTAAATGTCAAAGGAAATTCGGTGACTCATACGCATATGTTTAGCCCATAAATGCAGTTTAAAATTTGAAGTAAACCAAGCCCATTGGCTTCAGTTGATTTATTTGGATCATCCTCGGGGCCCCTGGTCTTTCCTTTTGCAGTAGTATGTAGGACAGTTCAACAATATATGTTTGAATCTTTTATGTTTTTACGTATGTGAAGCTATTTCCAGTCATGTTTAAAAATACCATGAAACAGATTCAACGCGGACACATCAACAGCTGTTACCCTGCATTTGTATTACCAACCAGAAACAGAAGTTATCACCTGTTTGGTCTTCTCCAATGAAGCAATGGTATTTTTTGGGAGATACATGATGAGGTTGTACATTGTGTATTTAAACATAGTAATTTAGAATAGTAATTTTTAGTAAATATTTGTTAGTGTTCTTTATATAAAAAATTGCTGTCTTGACTCAGTCTTAACTTTCTGCTATAGAAGACACATTCAGATCATTATCTAAAACACATTAAGTGCATTAAGGAGAACCAAACGTGAAACATACCAACTTTTGTTTGAAATTTTTTTTTTAACTCAACAAAAATGTGAATGTTATTTTTGATATTCATTAAAATTCTTCCTTTTACGTTTTTACGCCATTGTTACTCTGAGTTTTAGCAGTTTTCTTTCTTTGATTAAATAGAAAATGTCTCGTTATTTTTATTTCTTTCGCTTTTTTTAGTTACTAGTTATATAAATCTCAAGTATATAAATTCCTTAATCATATCTCATTGCTTTGGATAAAAAGGAAATGACACTCTTGAAATCTGTATGGTCTCTCTGAAATAGAAATAAAATCATTTAATATACATTGCATGTTTTCCTGTCTGGTGAATTTTAAGCTATAGACCCAAATGGAAGTTGTTCTAACGCTACTTTGTTCTTTTCCAAATTGGTGCAGTCCATGTTCAAAGGTTGTTATCAATGATGCTGTAATTGTAACAAAAGTAAGCTGGGGGCAATGTACCACTGCAGAGAAGTGTAATATGTCAGTGATCAATAACAGTTCGAAGACTCTTCTGTATGAAAACACGACTTCCTGCTGTGAGGGAGGCATTGAAATTTTGTACATTAAAGGTAACATATAAGAAATAATATATTAAACATATAATTTAAATCAAGTAAATTTTAAAAATACTAGAACTTTGTTTATGCTATTTTTTTATTTTATAAAAATGTGGTTATCATATACTTATATAATATTATGCATTTAAACTTTAAATATACATGTATATGTAATTAGCCATTGTTCAAAATTATTTAACGCTCTATATGCCTAATATTATCATTATGTATGTGTGTTAATCTTAGCTGACTTCACTTTTGTTAGGAAACGAAGCAACAACATATACATGTAACATTACCACAAATGTCACTGAAGGAAATTTAAATAATTCGACAAATATAACCACCAGTTTTTTGATCCCACCAGACGCCATGATGTCTAGTGAGGATGATCGACAAAATGGAAAGTGTAGAGGCGGATCAAAAAGCAAAAACAACATCATATTTCCTACCGGTATATTGTCATGCCTTGCTGTTATCTTTATTGTATTTCGTCTTGTATTGTCTTGTGTCAAAAGGAGAAAATTTAAAAAAAAATCAAAATTCTTTTAAAATAAGCCCGCGTGGCGCAGTGGTTAGAGCGTCTGGATCATAATCACTGCAGGACGTGGAGACCGGTCCTTCGGATGAGACCGTATAAACCGAGGCCCCGTGTCGCAGTAGGTGCTGGCAGTCCCTCACTGCTCAAAGGCCCTGAGTGCCGAGCATAGGACAAAACAACGTTAAACAATATACAATCAACCAATCAAATGCTATACTTTAAGGTCAAACAAATGAAAGGTGCACAGATTTATCAAATTTTAAATTCCTATATATGCTTTACAAATTTAGCTTGGTCAAACAAGGTGTTTTGGGGCATAATTTGTAGGTAAACAAGATGAAAAACTGTATTTTGAACTGTCATTTTCAATGAAAAATTAAGAAAACCAGTCATAAATATGGAAGTTTTTTTCATATTCGACAAAGGAAATGTATCCAGATTGCCTACAGTCTATCAATTAGTTCGTTTCATGGCCTTTTCTTTAAATCAGTATCAAATTTAATACAGTGTGTATTTTCATATGATTTGAAATTGAATGTCATAATTTTACATAAATTTTCCGTAAAGTTTAAATTGATTATGACGTCATAATGGATCTAGCACCAAAAAGTTAGAAAAGTTATTTACTAGATCTTGACCTAACACACTTCTCTATATCAATTAAAAAACTTCCATGACGTCAAATTGTTATTAGTCTACGTATATTTTACCGATTCAGCCAGCACTAGTTGGATATTTGAAGATCCAACTGCCTATCAGTTGGATATTTAAATACCCAATTGAGGTGCAGAAAACATAAAACAATGAACAAAAGAGAAAAAACAGTTTAAAAATGTATTTCCAATGCATATGAAAAATTTTACTCCAAATTTTCCACACAATTAGAATTAATTTCCAGTGCACACGGAATTACCGTAATTACTTCGCATTTATCACATTTATTGTGTTTCAAATGCACTTCCAATGCTCACAGAAATAACAATTCCTCCGAATTTTGCACAAGTTTAGAAATGTTTTCGGTCTTAAATTTTGAAAGCATCACTTTTTGACACATAAATACATATTCATTTGAATCTTAAACTGCATCACTTCTTTTTTGCTGAATATCATTTCAGGGTCCGTTATCAGAAATCCCTTCAGATTATCCGAGATTCATCTCTGTTTATCTTTTTCCGGCGTACTTCCAAAAAGAACTGAAATAATTGACAGCCCATCTATTTCTCGACACCATTTTCATTGCAGATCTTGATATGGAATTTTTTACAGCTTTTATCAAAATGCTGTAGTTTTCTTCACTTTTCAGGTCAAAAGTATTCAAAACAAATCTGAACCTCTCTAATTTACAATGGATTTTTAAAATTTTCTTCGTCTGATTTCATGACTGTTCAGTACAATGAAAAGGGTTGAAATGAAATCAGCACCATATATATAGTTTCATGTTCACTAGTCCATGAATAAAGGGGTGTTCGGTTAGGCTATTGTTTTGTGTCACGGTTGGATATTTGAATGGGCTACATTCTAGTGTATTACAGCAAGTTGGATATTTGAATGGGTAAATGCATATGATTTTTTTCGGGACCAAATTTTTTTTAAGTAAGATAGATAACGAGATGGTGTTGATATTTTAAAAACATTCCTAAAAACTGGTATTCAACACCATCTCGTTATTTATCCCTTACATATACTTAAATTATTCTTATGTGCCTGAGCTGTTCGATACAATATTTAAATTATAAATGCTGAGAGGAATTTTTCATGGAAGCGCGATTTTAGCGATTTTTTTCCTCTAATTAAAAAAAGAATAGCATTGGCTTTAATTTTATTGAGGGAAATTTAAGGCGATTTTTTTTTTGCTTAAAGAGATAACAGCCACCTTCAATGCGATTTGTTAGCGATGTTCAATTTTAGCAATCTTAATATCCTTACTAAAAATGACAAAATAAATCCTTGCTAAGATTTATTTTGCGAGGGGAATTTCAATTTTTCCTCCTATTTTTATGTAATCTTTGTATACTAGGAAAGCGCAATATTTTCAGTTAGACAAAACACTTCATTATAATTTATATCATTTATCCAGATTCAGCTATGACGTACTATTCGGAATAAAACAGAATATACAGGAAGTATTAGTAATTATGATCTTTGAACAACTACGCTCTATAAAACCGAAAATCATTTTTGATTTTCCTGTTATCAGAATTTATACATATTTTTGACAATGTGTCTTCCCGTTTACGGAAATATTCTATTGCATATCAGAAACCAATACAAAAATTAAAGAAATCATGGAATTTATTATGACTTTGGTTTGCTCTTTTCCAAATTGGTGTCGAAAATGTTCCCATGTAATTATTGATAAAGCTTCCAAAGTGATCGATGTCATTTGGGATCAGTGTTATAAAACACAAAAGTATGAGATGACGGTCAATAACTTCTCAGGAGCTCTGCTCCACGAGAGAAACATTTCTTGTTGTGAAGGAAACATCAAAATACGGTACTTTCAAGGTAAGGCATACCAGGTAATTAATTATCAATTTAAGATACGTTGTGATACACTCTTGCGTCAAATTTCTTCTTTTTTCTTTTAGTTTTGTTTATATCTTTTCTCATATCTTTTATCATAAAAATGTTCTTTTTCATAACTAGAGAAAGTTGATCTTCCAACATTGTCCACAAGAGGCGGAAGTGTTTTGCATGATCTGACTGAACCCTTGCACAACATGACCACCTACACCAATCGGACACATGCCGAGGAACCAATCTCACCACAGTCCACCATAGTCATCGCTTCTGTCGCGATATCGGGGATCCTAGTCATAATTGTTCTCGTTTTTGCCATTGTGATATGTAGAAAGAAAAAATGAATAAACCAATTAAAATTCCTGATTATGTAAACTTTTTTGATTTCATTATTTGAAGTGATTTTTTTTCTTCCAATTTTGAACATAGTTTTAAATCTGATATCAAGAAATCAATTTTATAAAAATCAAAAGAGGTAATAGTTGATTTTTGAAAATATAATAAATATATGTACATCAATTTTCAATTGAAAATGTATATTTCAAGTAACCATGACAATTCTCGTTGTGATGGTCACAGCGAAAGGTATAGCTTCATAAGAAGTTGTGATTTTTTTCTTTATTTTCATCGTTTATTAAACAAAAAAAGCCATTGCATTGACCATGTTTTTTTGTTTGATATTTATTAAACGTCCCTCTCGAGAATTTTTTTCTCTTTTTTAACTTGTGTGAAGTTAAAATTCATCACAGTAATAAGCCATCAAAATATAACATTATTAGAATAGTTTCCAAAATATTACCTGTTATTTATGTATCGTTAAAAAGATTTTGATATGAAAGGTCCTCGAAATCAGATGGATCAAAAATATGTTTTTAGTTACATGTATTACATTCACTGTGAAAATAAAATATGAAGAAAACGAACAGTTGTTAAGCTTTACAGTCCAGTCAAACAATGTACATTTCTATACATTTTCAAAATTGTTACAAAGACCTAAAATGAATAAAAGGACTCTTTGTTAAAATTATGTCAGCTTTCGTCTATCGTTTCTCTCTTTCTAAAATATTTAGAGCGCTCGCTCTGTAATCGGAAGGTCGATAATTTGAATCTCGAAAGCGACTGACCTAAGTCGATAAAATTATATGTAGCAACTGTTCCTTCGCCTTGCGCTCGGCACTTTGAAATGAAAGTTTTGGATTTTTCGGATAAGACCTTATACGAGGTCCCGAGTCACGACAATTGTTGGCCCGATGAAAGATGTCACTGCTTAATTGCCCTGAATGCCGAGTAAAGATCAACATTTGTAGCTCATCACCGGTATATGGTGACGTCTCTATATGAGTGAAAAATTCTCGAATACGACATAAAACAACAAGCAATCAATCAATTAATCTTACGAGCTCAAATTACTGACTTCTTTATAACGATAATTAATGCACGTAAATATATAACGTACATGTATTATTGAATCAAATTTTCATTGCGTGAGATTTTATGTCAAACACAGTTTTCCTTTTGGTAGAAGTATGAATCATCAATATATTAAGAGAAATAAAGCAAAAAGGTTACAGAAAACGACATACGCATTTATCATTCAGTTTAACAGCCTCTTCCTGTCTATTGATTCTCAAATCTGTATTTCCTTATTGGTAAATGTATATGATTGTGTTTAAGTGACTCTAGAAAATGTGCTGGGCAGTGCTAGTGACGTATCAGCAGTGTATAACATACATATTTATTTATTTCCCCTATACTGTATAAAACATGATGAAGATAGATGCACCTAATATTATTTGATTCTCATGGGAAATCAAATGAATGTTTACTTTAGTACAACGGATGAAATTTAATGCAATATGCACTTTGATATAAAGTTATTTTACAGACTTGTACACAGAGCACAAAAAGAGAAACATTATTCAACAATGAATCTTTTTGGTAAACGAGATAATAGTGTGTTTTCTTATAAATTTTGATTGACTTTAATAACAACTTAATAGTTTGATACTTTGATTTATTTTCAAACATTAAGTAATTTTTACAGATTCAAAGCCTTATTGGCTTAAGGACTTAATTGCACATTAATGGTTTAATATTTTTAAAAAAGTTAGTACATGTATGGTTTTTTGTGGATTTTTTTTCCATATATATATTTATATTAAATTTTAGAGTTATTAAAATTTGAAAATAATAATTGGAATTTCATAGTAAAATATACATGTACATTGATTTTAAAATTAAAACAACTTTTTATGTTATTGTTAACTTTAGTAAATAATTTGTTCACTATAGTATTTTTGTTCAGACGGTGACAATTACGATGGTCTACTTAGATCATCACACTTTTGACCTTCGTGTTATTTAAACTACTAGTACTATTAATTCTATAAATGTAAAACTTAAGCTGATATCAAAAGTGAACCCTTTCGAGTATTTGTCTTGTAGACAGTTCATCCAACAATTTGTTTATAATTCCAATCTAATGAAATGTAGAAGTTATGAACAATATTCCAAAATATATGGTGATGTGGAGGCCATTAAGTCAAGCTCAAAAGTCCAAACAACAATACAAATCAGAATCAGAGGAAACAGGAACTCTCAAACATTAGATGTAAAATCGTGGTCATGGATGAATGAGCATCTCCTCCAGCCGGTGACTTTCGCAATGTACTCCTTGTCATGATTGGGAAATAAATGGAAAAAATCCGTAGCCAATTCGATATGTAATAATGGCGTAATATTAATGATATTCAATTGTATTTACTGACAAGATTGTTGTATCGATCATAGAATTTTCGAAATAATAACTTCAAAGAAGACTTTTAATATTCTTGTTTCATAAACATTTTTTTTGTATAAATTTTTTATTTTAGAACGTGTTCGAAAGTAGGGTCAAATTATGGAGGTATTTCGAAAAAATGGCGATGAGAATGGCGGTAATTCGTATTGAATTTTTTATGTAAATTGAAATTATGAAAAACACATTATTTGAATTAATGACATTGTATAATATCCAAAGAACTTATAAATTATGACTTTAAACAATCTTCATCTCCTTGTATATGTCTTTTGGAAGAACAACCTCTAATGTATTAATATCACGGATGTTGAAAAATATTGATACAAAAATTGATATAAAAAGTACCGAAATTTCTTAATTCATATGGAACGGATTTAATAATACTTATAAGCACGATATACTTATAAAAAACTTTCTTTTTAAGGAAATATTACTGCACACTAATGTTGTTCTATATATCAAAAATCATATTATTTCAATTTTTATTTAGCACAGAAACAAAACACATGAAAAATAAAATTGAAATAAGAAACAATAGGTAAAATTCTATCGACTGACTAAAAGGAATTCTAACAAATAATGTTATTACATTGCATTGGTATGTGTTATAAATATTAGTATGTCGGTTGTTTTTTTTCATAAGTTGTTACACTCAGTTCCTAATGATATAAGTATGTCAAACAGCTAATAACAGAGCACTTATACACATGAATATACATTATTCAGATCACCTTCTTTTGGTTCATGGTGGAATGTTTTATTATAGATGTGATCATCAATTTCACTGAAATGGCTGTAGACACTTTCCTTTCTATGAATACGTTTCTTTTCTTTTTTATGAAGTGTACAATAGAAAGCCTCCTCATCGAGATAGGCATGTTTCAAATTGCTGCTCTGTTCACCATTAACAGTACTTTGTGATGCTTCCACTCTTTCATGAACATGACTTTTATATTGTGCATTCTCTGTGTCTTTCGACATTAATTTAATGTGGAATAATGATTTTCCAACAGGAACTTGTTCTACTGGTGTTGAATATTCCACGACTTCATCCTTTTATATTTTAATAACATATAAAAATTAAGTTACGCTAGTACATGCTAGAATTAAAAGTAGAACGGGGATCATGTTTAAGATTTTGAAAAAAGTGAGGCATAATTTGGACTTATAAATACAAGAAAAATTATAAAAAGAATTGGTTGAAAATAATATCTTACAATGATTATACTGCATGGTCTATGTTGTTTCCCAGGATCATATGTTGAAGGCCTTCTTTGAAATATGAAAAATACACCAAATATAAGAAATACGTAAAATACTTTTACTTAGTGTTTATTTTTATCTGCTGAATTTTATATTTAATCATAAACAATGTTTCTTCTGGAAAAAATCAGAGGTGGAAATTCTTTGATTATTTATGAAATGAAAATATATTTTGTAAATGTTTTAGATGTTCTGAAATAATAGCAAATATGCGTATCTTAAGAAAAACAGTGCTACTCACATTTAAAATTTAATGCTCTTATAAGTGAAGTTCAATGCTTACTTTTTGTACCTGACCACTGATATGATTGTGATAATGAGCAGGATAACAACCAAGGCAATGGACATTGTTATCAGCAGAAGATCGACATATATTGATGACCTCCTTCACTTGAAGAATGTGGAATCTTGATTTTCCAACAGGAACAAAACAGAAGTGCTGAGCACAGTTTAATTTTGTTAGCTGTTAAGTAAGAAGGGGTGCGCTGATTGATTGTACAGTGAAACTTGTCAAAGAACTTAATTCGGTAATAACCAATATTTGCCCCCCAAATCAAACTTTGATGGAGATATATTTAATTAAGTTCTTTAAAAGGGGTTAAAAGTATATGCTTACAAAGATTCAAAGCACTGAATATTTTCATAAGTAATGACGCCATATGTACGTAAAAACGTAAAACATGACGTAAATTTCAGTTTTTTAATGAATTTTAATAAAATGTACATATTTCGTCGATATTTTGAAAAAAAAATTCAGACGAGCGAATTTGTGTTATTAAAAAAATTTTGATATAATGTGTAAAATGATAACATCAATGAAATATGTCAATATTGTTCCTGAACAAACTTGCGCTCACATAAATTTTACAGCTAAAATTGTTGAAATTTTGTCCATTTTGTCCTGATATGATTTTGAAAAAGGATATAAAATCGGACTAGTTTGTGACATTGTTATCAAAACAAAAAATTGTGAATACACTGCTTTGACACTATAATATTTTTTGTTAATTTATATTTCTCATACAATTTATTGAATTCAGCACATTTCAGGAAGTTTTCAAAATTTGACTTTTGTGGGGGCAGATATATGCAATATACCGCATATAGTTCTTTTAATTGTTGTGTTGAAATAGACAGGATGTTGGATTGAACAGTATATAAAACACATGGGAAATAGTAGAATGAAAATAAAGGTCGGAATGCATTTTAAACGGATTGTGTAGGTGTCGGATTAGATGGTTATCACTGTAATTGCTTTTTTTTTTAATGCATCTTCCTCTTCTCTCTCTTAAGGTATTAAATGTGTTTGAACTGAAACAAATTACAGCTGTGCTGAAGGTATGAAAATGACTTACTTTACCTGTGGTATACAAAAGTGACCGAGAACCCTCACAACATCTGGTTTGATTGAATTCCCCAACAGTAACCCCCTCCACTACAACTTTGGTTTTAGGAAGGTAACTTGGATATTCATAATGCTTCGAGCAATTGTCCACTATCTTGACAATGGTTTTGAAATTTGGATCAGCAACTCTAAATATACTACACATTACACAGAAAGTAGGATGGGAACAATCCTTTGTCGTTGCTTTCATCATTTTATTCTAAAAAATATTGAATTATTAATTATGGAATGATCAGGATTGTCAATATTTGAAAAAAAAATCTAAAACATATTTAAAAAAAAAGATAGAATCTAAAGAGCTGGTTTTTTTTTTACATTTATTAATCAAGTTTTAATGAATATTCATAAAAAAAGTTTTTTGATTAATATATTTCAATGTTTTTCGGTGTATAACATAACAATATTGCAATTGAAATGTAAAAAGCTTTCATTATAATAGAAGTACCTGCAGAGATAGCTTTCATATGTCAAACGCATCAGTATTCTTCTGTTATTATATTTCTTAATTGAAATGTTGATACTGTGGTACTGATCCATTATAAAAATTCTCTAAGCATGGTTTTGTGTTATTTTGAGTATAAAAGGCCAGCACCTGTCATATGGTTTTATCAATAACCAATAACCAGGACAAATGAACAATGAGTACTTCCCTTTATTCTTTTTTTCACAACCCTTTTTTAGAATAAGCTTTTAAGCTACATTTCTCGGAGCAAAATATATAATATACCGAACATATCTTCTATTATATATGATATTTAGTTTTTTATTTGATCAAAATTATTAAACTTGATCGTACTTACTGTATTCTTCTGACGTACAAATGAAAACACTGGTCAACAAAAAAAATGTCTCAAATTATGACTCTGGATTGGATCCATATCTTCTTCCTACCTATAGTATACAGTGAATGAAAAATAAAGGAATATAAACTTGTAAAAAGTATTCCTTTTGTATTTTAGTGCGCTGTCCTAGGAAGAAAAGCAAATTTATAAGTTGATGATATATTTCTGTATGATTAGAAATTCTGACGCCCTTTCCTTATTATAATTATTATATAACATATTTAACAGTTCTTTTCCTTTGGTAATATATCATCCGGAAATAAACTACTTCTTGCAACATGTATCTGTACTTAAGCTTGTAATTAAATTATGAATATAGGGATGTAAAGCACTGCCTATTCCAAAAATACTGACGAAATTTAATTTAATGTAATTTAACATGCAGCACTGAAACGGCTTTGATATTTTTTGTATTTATTAATTCTGAATTTTACTAATGTAGAAAATATTGGTGATGAAACTCGATAAAAAAAGGTGTCTTGGTAAACATTTGAATATTACATTAAGCATATAAGTTTAGAACATACATGCTAAACAAGCTATCTAAGGACTTATCTTAGTTTTAAGGGAGGTAAAGAAACGTTTTCCACCACCATAGAAGACTATCAATCAAGAAGATCTCTCGTACTACATATCCATATTGATTTTAGAAGTGCGTGTGAAATCAAAACAACTTAAAATTAAAAGCTAATTTTTGACATTAAATTGTTAGAAAAATCGGTACTAAAATGTTTATATTATTGAGAATAATAAGGCACTAGATACTGATAGTGTAAATATCCTCCAATCTAAGAATTTCTACTAGAAATCTAAGCAAAAATAAATCCAATCATTGCATTCTGAGTTCAAATTAAAATTGTACGTATTCTTCCTTGTCCAAAGTGTATCATAAGTAGTAAACAGAGTTTTATAATTTTAACTACCGGGTAAAGATGGTAGACGGATAAACAAAAATGCACATGAAAAAATTCGTTTCACTTGCGGTAAAATCCTAAAGGTGAAAGAAAAGATGTTAATCGTGTTTAACTGCAGACCAAAATTTTGGAGGAATAAGAAATTTTTATCTACATTCCAAACAAAGTATTTAGATAATACCCTGTCACATGCCGATAAAAGCAATATTAGATCATCACAAGCCCTGCTGCTTGTTATTAAACAATTCCTTCACAATCGAGTGAAGCACGATATTAGAATAAAGAAATCAATACCATATAAAAAAAACTCAATGAAATCAAATGTTTCACTCCGAACTGTTTGGTCTATATACCATGGAGTATTTTACATGTAAAACTTATAACACCCATTCTCAATATAAGGGCTCAAATGATGTCGCCTCATTTTCATTTAAAAGAAATACCACTGATGTAATTTTTAAATCAACATTATAAATAGTCATATAACAATGAATAAGAATTCATATAATTATCGATCTGAAAGGGTATTTAAGGAGTTCCAAATTCAAATATAGTAGCCTATTTGAAATGTACGTTACTGTCGCCGAGGCAAATATTATTCTGAATCCCCTCTGTGTAATATATAGTTTTGATTCTCAAGTAAAAATTTTCTGATAAGTTAAACCTTGTATCATATATATTTCTTTTCATAACAATAAATACATTTTCTTTGTGATAATAAATAATTTTTATTGTGCAATGTCCCTGTCGCTTAATTCTATTTCAACCACATTACAAGCAAACACAAAGATTATACACCTGATAGTTTTGTTCTCCTTTATTTATTGATGGGCTAAATTTGAAATTTCAAAGGATTAATTACTCCTACTTAGATAATGTAACATGAAATTGAACAACTTGAGCAACTTTTATAAATATGTTTACGGAATGAAAGACATTTTCAATCGTAGAGATAAGAAAGAAATGTACGTTACCTTTATTCTTCCATTAAGAATACATATTAAGTAGAAAATATGAGACGACTCTGAATAAGCAACCCCTTGTATCCTGTAAACTGGCAAAGACGTTTTGCTTAACACAATTAAAAATTATTTTTTACATGAAAAGTGATCATTTGAAATGTACGTGACTGAAATGTACGTTACCATGAAATTCGAATTAAGTGAATCTCGCACGAATTTTCATGTATTCTAATACTTTCACACACTCGAATGTGTACACAAAGGAAAGTTTCAAAGGTTGGAGGTCGGCTAAATCCCATAATTAATGAAAAGAAACGTCTCTGCTGAGGAAAAAAATATATTAAGGTCAATTATTATGTAATATAATTTTGATACCTGGTATATATTTCTGAATACGAAACCTGTATGATGCATTTCTTATGATATGCAGGTTCAAATAGTATCAATATATTGCGCGTCTAACGTATGCTTGTGGAAGAGAATTGATTTTTATATTTGAAATGTACGTTACGTATGGTAACGTACATTTTATGTATTTCTAACTGACATTTTTTTTAATTTAGTCAATGAATTGCGTTTACACGAGCGAAACAAAATTATCGTTACAATCCATTTGACAACTGGCCACATCTAAATGCACCCCAATCCTCGTAAATGTTTTAAACTGTTACCACATGCTAGAAAATTTATTTCTAAGTGTCTTAAATTCATCTTTGGCAACCTTTTTGCAGTTTGTTTACTTTTCATGTGCGACTTTTCGTCAATATTAATTGAATTGTTGTTGATAATTTAAAACAAGGTATGCATAGGCTTATAATTGGTAAAAAAAACAAAACAGAACAAAAAAGAAAAGAAAAAGAAACAAAACAAATAAACCCAGAACACACAAGACGGTCACGTACATTTCAAATACTGAATACTCAGTTTTGTTTGAATCATTGCATTTTGGGTTACATTTTTCCAGATCTGCTGAAAAGCACGTATGGTTGTGTTTTGAAAAACGATGTTGCAACATACTAAATGAAATTGTTAACAAGACTGTCGATGGATATATTCGGAATAGATTTATGTTAAGTTTCAATGGCCAAACACGAACATTTGTAAGATCATAGCAAAATACATCTGACTCTTATATTTTTTTGTCTGTAACCTTGCACACAAAGTTAGAAGTAACTAGGCTACGAACGGTGTCAATTTCAGCGAAACAGCACAAAAAAATGGTTATGAACTGAGGTGGAGGGGACTCCCCAATAATATGTGAAATGAACGTTACCGAAGTGACGTGACATTCATGTAGTTGATGACAATAACCTCGTTTGTTACATTATGATTCTTATATTACTGCCTTAAAACGCTTCATTGATATGATTTTTATGTCAATAATTTCTTTTTTTCAATATTTTCTTATTACTAATTTACATACTATTACAAGCTTGAAATGTACGTTACCTACTCATATTCTGAGGCAATCGTGTCTTTATAGTGGTGATTGTGACATATAACACAATGTGATTACATAGAGAATCTTTTTTGGAATAAACTGAAACAAAACGATGAATTTTTAGATGAATTTTAGATGAATTTTAAGCTTTTTATTAAACAGAAATATATCTTGAAATGTACGTTACATTTACATAGTTTTCTAAATCGGCATGGATATATGTTAAAAAAGACAGTAACTTCAAAATAGAATTTTACTACATGTACATGTTAGGTTCCAGTATCTATTAAAAATGACAAGATTCCAAACTGATCGCTCTTAACAAAACAGAGAGAAGAATTTAAAGCATATATTTAAAAAATGTTTTTACACATCTGGATCAAAAAGTAACCTTTGTTTTTTGAAAGGAAAAATCAAACGCACGTTCGTATGCCGAGAAAATATGTTGCTGACAGAGTTGGTAGGATGTGCTGGTGTTAAGATGAGATATTCCAATTGTGATTTTAATGACTACATTTTTTTTGACATATTTTTTTGGACATTGAAGAAAGAGTAACGTACATTTCAAGCTACATTTCTGAATAAAATTACCCTCTACTTTATCGTCTTGTCATTATTTCATGTATTATAATTTGATGAAAAAAATCTGGAAACAAAATCTTCAGATACTTTCTTTCAAAGGTAATTGATAGAAAAATTGTTATCTTGAACTTCATTTTTTAAAAAATCAGAGAGGCATTTGTGCCCTTATATTGAGAATGGGTGATAACATTTTGCTTTCTTTTTAGACCTTGCATATCGACCATAGAGCTTTCGAAATGATGACTTAAAATGAGACGGCTGATATTCTTGTTTCATCAACTTGTTTGTCAATACCTTAACTCGTTTTTGAAATAGTTCATATATACATGCTCTTGTGTATCGAATCAGCTGAAAAATAAAGACCCTGTAATCAGGTGAAAAAGGTATTTATTGCTGCATAAGTAAGGGGAGATGACAAATGAAAAGTTTAATTCATTTGGTTTATCATAAAGCTTTGTTGTTAGGTTACCATTTACGTCTTATTCTATCAAATATATATCCAAATATACAAAAAAGATGTGTCAGATTCTGTGGTATCTTAAATCATCGTGGTATACATCGAATGCGAATGGAAATAAGACTTAAGATTGAAATTAATTTATTGATTAAAAACCAAAAACAAAAAAATCATCCTAAAAAAACAACAAGATATGATCTGCAATTGTAAATTATTGACAAGAGCACTACAAATTGCAATTGTTATTGTATTTTTTCTAAACCTGAAACATGTTTATAAACTTTAATACAATTAACTGTGCTTATACCAAAGTATTGATATCATCAAACACACAGAATCAATTGACTAATGTATAGTTAACTCAATCTAAGTGTACTGAGTTTCCAAATGAATGAAACATTCTCCCGTGGGACGTTCAACAACAACCAATCAATCATAATTGTCAGTGTATATGTACAATAAAATACTTTACCAGGGGTTTCATCCAAACCCCCAATTTAGACTCATTAAGAGTCATCATTTTCGCAATATACTAGTATGTTGCTATTTGAGCAAACTGATGGGCTGTATTGCCCAAAGTTACATTCTGAATAAATTATAATACATTACAAAATAACTACAAAATTAAACACATGTTATTTAGGAAGGGCGAAGGCAATTCTGTACCCTCAATTTACAAAAAAGACGGAATGGGAAGTAGGGTTTTTAAAATATATATCTGGACCTGGTACAATTTTCCTGCATTTAAGTTAATCACGTTGCACATTTTTAGCCAAGGTTTCAATGCAAAAGCAAATTCCGACAAAGCCTAGAAAACTGAAACAAATTGTAGATAAAACCAAAAATAACACTCTCATGAGGAATGGAATTTCTGATGCCATTGTTTTGCACTTTTCCGAATTGGTGTAGGGAATGTTCATATGTGGTCATCGAAAAAGCCTTCAGTGTAATGAAAGTACAATGGGAACAATGTACTGCAAAAGAAAAGTATAATATGACTGTGAAAAACTCAGCCATGTCTTTGTTGTATGAAGGCGAAGAATCCTGTTGTAGAGGAAGCATTGTCATACGATATGTCACAAGTTTAGGTATCACAGGTGATATATAAAAATCCTTTTACAGTTTACTAGAATTTTTTATTTTGTTCTCAAATTTTAAATACCATCCAAAGAGAATTAATTAAATGACAATGATTTAAGAGTTGAAGCATTTATAAAATAAATACATTTAACAATATTTAAAACGTTATTACTAGAATATTCTATTATTTATTTTTTAAATAAAGACAACACAGATGAATTCATATCTTTGATGACAAACGGAACTGGAACAGAGAACAACATGACTAATTTCAGAACTAAGGAGGAAGACACAACAAAATTTACTTTGATAATTATTTTTGTTGTTGTTGCATCTATCTTTGCCCTCATGATTTTGGGTTTCCTGTTGATAAAACTATTAAAGAAAAAGTCAAGTCAAAATCGGAAGTAACCAATTTTTAAATGACTTTAACAGTGCAAACATTGGAATATGGTTGTTCCGTGTTATAAATATAGCTAAGAGGAAGTTAGGCTAATTTTTCCTTCATTCTGAAAGCGAAGTTCAAATTGACTCTATGTATACAATTTAGTTTAAATCGAATTTTTCCCCTAGTAGCTTAATAGAAGTAAATGAAATTAATTTAACAATTTAAAGACATTGACTGAACTTAGTGTCTACATTTCTTTCCATGATTTTTTTGTCAGGACTGTAAAGATGATTATTGTATATTTCTTGTACTTTAGTTTTCAAGTTCTTGGCTCTTGTACTCACTTTTACTAATATTAGAAGAAGAGAGCAAAGATTACAATATATATTTTACACATTAACATTTCAAATCATTATTTTCATTATTTTTTGTGTGAAGAAAATCTGTACGTACATGTCATTTACAGTATCTCTCTGGCAAACAATAAAAAAGTACCTTTCTGGCAAACATTAGTTTAAAAAAAAAACTTAATGATGATATGTTCATACGTGAATGTAATAAATATTTTATATGTATCAAGAACAATTATTGATATTTGCTGAAGTTTTCCATCTTGATATTAGCTACAATTTTGTTTATTGATCAAAACCTCTAATTTGATCAGTAAAATACAACTTCAGTATATATAGGTATTTTATCTGTTTTCATTATGGTTGGGAAAAGAGGAGGCATAACTACAAGAGATTCCTGTGCTTTTCCATTGTAACCCATGAGTGAGGCTCAAATTTGAAGCGAGTTATCTGTATGTGGCCTTTTTACATTTTAAAAGAAGAAGTTATTAGCGAAGAGATAGCCTCCTTTCTGTATTAACCTGCGTCTGTAGAAGAACAAATATTTAAATACAATTTAGTTCATCTGCTCCCCCTTCGGCACTTTTAAGTAGATGGTCATTTGAACCAACCACTGCCAGTTTTAAAAGATGTGAGCAAAAAATAAAAACATGGAGGAAGTGTTGTAAAATATTTACAATTACTTTTCCTCCTGAAGGATCAGGCTTATACAAAAAAAAACGAAACTCTCTTGGCCAATGAGATCAGAGAAAAGAGAAAAGGCTGTATTCTGATAAAAAGAAAATAAAATGCGAGGCACACAATTGTAAACGAAACGAAAGTAGTTATTAATTAGTTTATTACACATATGCATTTATGTTCCTCAGTTCCTTGCAAAAGAGACTGAAATTTCAAATAAAAAATCAAGTAATACTTTCAAAAATGAAGCCGTACCTTGCTTGTATGCATATGCTATTAAATAATCTTTTTTATATTTCTCAGTTGATTGGATACGCAAGAGCATGCCTTATGGGATATCCTACCCAGACACCCATGATATACATGAACTTACACAAGCCTATGCTTGTATTTGCAACATTGCAGAATTAAAAATACATTTAAAGTTTATTTTTTTATTGTACGGCAGATTTTGGCCAAAGCGGTCAGGTAAATGTATTTCAACAATCAACATCAACTTTAGAGCCGCCATACAACAGGGCTCACCCCCTACAACAACATTTTATGTGTCGTCTGAAACGGCAGGTAGCATGCTGGGTTGTGATTCACAATCATGCTACCGACACATCAATATTTAATTGAATATATATTTCTTTACTTTAAATTGTCTATATATGGAACTATTATCAAATCAACATCAACGTAACAACATTCAACGGTATATTTCGCAACCAATTTGAAGGTGACGATATGGCTACACCGCAATAATAACACCACTGTGACGAGATGTAGGTCTAAGGATTCCTGTCGTTTTCTACAACCAACTTAAAGGTGACAATATGGCTTCACCACACTTTGTGTTGACAATTAAAACACCGTGACGAGATTTATGTCCAAGGATTCCTGTGTCTGTATCTAAACCAACTTAAAGGTAACGATATGGTTTCACAGCACTTCGTGTTCACAATTAAAATAAGACCACGATGATAAAACATATGTCTAAGAAGTCCTGTGTCTGTAAATAGTTAATGTTATCTGCACAGGTCAAACAAAGTAATTATAGAGGGTAGGGTGGGGGGTAGGTTTAACAATTTTAGCTCTGAATTTCTAAACTGTCTGCTAGTTATCGGCATTGATAGAAAAAAGAATTGTGGATATTGTAAGTTCAGAGTAAAACACGGGATGTTTAAAAAATTCCGGTCAAAATTTCCGGATTACACAACTGACTGATACACAAAGTAATCAACTAAATAAACCATTCTTTCAAACCAACATCATACATATTCACCATCAATATTGGCTTCAAACAATAGTATGACAACAAAAGCTTTGATAAGGGCATATATTTACAGACAAGCTGAAATATATGCAAATATATTGCTAATCATTATGAATAAATGAAGATATTTTCGCCAAGGATCAAGTGGAAATGTATACAAATACCATTAAAACCTTGAAAATTGAGTGTTGAGCGTTTCGCATTTTGGAAAGTCATTGTACATGTACTAAGTATGTAAAATATATTTATGTAAAATGGTCCATGTTTTGCATAACAGGCGGATTTTATTATAAATCAGCACTAGATATAACAAACTCATGCAATACTTCATTTAATTATAAAAACAAATGCCCAAAATTTTTATTTGATCACTGAGCACGAGCACGGACTGATAAAACTGGTGAGTTGGATTTGCCATCTCACATTTCTATACTGGATTATAGTTTTAATATTTTCATTAATACACAACTCAATTTCTAATTTATTTAAGTATTACGAATAAAGTTGACTTTGTGAAAGTGCAAGAATGTTTCAATTAAACCGAAATTTGTGTTTTCAAAAATTTTTATACAAAATAATTGTTTATCATATTTTCGTGTGAAATGCTTTAAATAGCAACATAAAGTGTCTCAGCACCTTTAGTACTACAACAACAAAAAATAAGACTTTATTCCTTTACAAGTGCATGCATTTTGCCAACATTCAACGGTGAATCGTGCCGCTGTAAACATTCTCATTACAGTCGCTGAAGTGACTATAAACACTCTCCTCTACTTCCGTAGACTGTCTTTCTTTTTCATGAAGCTTGTTATAAATATCCTCTTCAGTAGGAGAAATATGATTTGCCTTGTACGTCTTTTCACAAGCATTTGATGATGCCTCAAGTTTTTCAAGAATGAAATAATTGTTTTGTTCATTTTCCGACCCTCTAGATTTTGTTTTGGTGTGGATCAGGGATTTCACAATAGTTGCTGTCTCTTCCACTGTTGAATATTCCGCAACTCCATCCTGCAATAGATTTAATCAACCATGAAATCGTATTCAAAAAGTGAAGACAATGTTTTGCAACCATTCAAATTTTTATTATCAATAACACTGATATTAGTGAATAAAATTCAGATAAGCGTTTCCCTTACGCTGTATATTTCATTTTCAACAGGGCGTTGCAGATTGTGCATTCCATGGATGGTTTTCGATTTCCTAGAAAATATATAAAAAGAAAAAAGGCAAAATAAACGGTTTGAAAAAGATTTTTTCCAGGACCAAATAATGAGAAAGATAAAATATTGATAAAACTTTTTTCACTTAAATGTAGTTTCTATGGATAAAAAAGATAGGGCGAAATCCTTTCGTGTGTTTGAGTACATGGGTATCATTTTAGTTCAATTATACTCTAACTGAATAAAATCACTAGGTTTAATCTTTGAAACTCACCTTTTAAATTTTACGACTATGACACACAAAAGTATTATTACAAAGAGAACTACAACTCCAACAATTCCGGCCGTAAGCAAGAGAGCCGTGTCAACAGACTGAAATTGCGTTGAACTAGCCAAAATTGTGGTATCATTTGAAGAGGTGTTTTCTTTTACGACGGAAACAGTATCAATGTTTACAGATGCAGTCGTAAAGAGTAGAGAGGAAGGTTTAGTGGTCTCTACTGATGACGTAGTAGGATCAGTGGTGGTATCTGGAAATGACGTCAGAGCATCAGTGTTTTCTTCTTCTTCTTTTTAATAATGATCAAATAATGTATTATACACCTAGACAAACTGTTTATGATTTGAATTAATATTTATGCTTTATTGTTATGACAGAGACCAGAAATTCTTAATAAAGATAGTTAAAAATAATTATGGTATTGTTTAACCTTAATAATTCTGAATAACATCTGTGCCTAGATATAGATATCAAAACTTTACCAGTTTTATAAATGAGAGTCCGAGAACCTTCACAACACCGTGTTTGATTAAACTGCTCTTCAAACTGTCCGTTGACATTAATTTTTGTAAAAGGTTCGTAGAGTGGGTGTTCATATTCCTTTGTGCATTCGTCTTTAATCTCAATTACAGCTTCAAAGGATGAATCAATGACATTAAATAAACTGCAAGTTACACAGGTCGTGGGATAATCACAGATTATTTTTTTCCTCCTCTCCATCGATATTCTAAACACATTGAAAACATCATGATAACATATTTACTATACATTAAAATGAAATCAGTATCAGGCATTTATCAAAACACATTGCTGAAATTTTTGTAATTTTCTCACTGTTGACTTAAGTCTGTAGGGTAAGAAACTTTATATTAATATCGTTGATTTGAAAAAACGATTTCTGTAACTTTGAACTTACGTACGTCCAGTCGACGGTTAGCACTTACCTGCTGACAAATGTTAATTATTATTATCCTCTATTGTAAAAATAGTGACATTCTCAGCATGAAATGAATGCGTAGCAAATATAATTTTTAAAATTTTCAATAATGTTGTAAAGCCTCATTTTGAACGAAATTTCTATGTAAGTTTCATATGAGGTCGGACTTCCTCCCTTCTTAAATACTATTCTTACATGCTATATTTCGATAACAGTCTGTATTGAGAGGGCTTTTCCTATCTACATTGATGATACAGTAAACAACACAATGAAGACAGCATACCACATTCCTTCCGTTTTAAAGCTTGAAGTGAAGAAGTTTTCAACAATCTTCAATAGAAAAATTGTCGCTTTTTTGCTCATTTCACATTTCGTTAATG